TAAAGGTATGAATGCCATGAATGATTCACTAAAGGAGGAAAAGCTACACAGATTCCCTCAGTAACAACATTTCCAATGACTGAAATGTTACAGGCTTCTACCAATTTATCAGCTGTACAGCAGTCAGATTGCTACAAATCTCACAGACTTAAAGAAGCAACACTCACCCTGCGTGTAGCATGCCACACACCTACTAACTACCCCATAATTCATGAATTACAATATTGTACCACTAATGCCATGAGATCACGTTGCAAAAATGAGTGCTATGTAAGACAAATGAAAACCAGGACCTCGTTTACTTCTAAACATGATTTTCCTGTGACAGTACTTAAAGAAGGAGTGAAGGCAAAGGATGCAATTTGACAATAACCTCAGGAAAACAGATATTTGCAGTCTTACAGAAATTTACTTACTGCTTCCTTGAGAAATTTAGTGCCAAGTGTCACTGCAATAAAGAAAGCCTAACTGTCCAAAGAGAGCACGCTGTCAGCTGTGCTTGCAACCATGTTCTGGATGGCACATAACCAAGTGCAGCTAAATACAGGGACTAGAGGAGCACGAAGGGACAAAAATATACAGAAAAGCCTCCTCATGGTAACACTTTCTGGTTTTGTTCATTTTAGCATTTTCTCTCCCTACTTCTGTGTTTTCCACAGCTTAGCAGCCTGTGGACCTTCAATGTACAGATGTTGCTACTGTTATCCGTTACTCCCCATTTTTGTCCGTTTCAGACCCACGGGTACTTTCATCAAGCCCTCCCAATTGTAGGGCTCAAGCCGGCTTTGTTTAAGAGGAATTAAGCGATTACTTGGTATCTTTTAAATGGCCGAAGCACATATTTTGAGATACACTTTAGGCTTACTGTAACGAGGTAAGAATGAACTCTTCTGTCACTGTGCCAACAGCCCTCCAAGGTTACCTCTACCGAGAACATTAAGCATAATTTCACAGAATCACAGAATGGTAGGGGTTGGAAGGGACCTTCCCCAGTCATCTATAGCTAACAATACAGAAAACAGAAAATGCAGTTTGTCATTTGGATCATAAAAAGAGCTTGGTATCCAGAGCATTACCTTGCCTGTGCTTTGTAAGATTGTAGTTCTTGTCCTCCATACTCTCTCCCTGCTGACAATATCTCTGGTTACATCCACTTCAGCATCAACAAAACTTCTCTGTTTAAGAGCAGTTATGTCATCATCCAGATCAGTTTTGATAGTAGATCTTTTCTTTGCCATGATTTTTGCTTTGATAGCAGCAATTTTTTCCACTGACATGGCTTCAGACAAGGACCTACATGAGCAAAAATAACAGAAGAGACTGAATAACGGTGCAAAAAATTCTTCTGAAAGAATTTGTGAATCTTACTTCATCCTGCTTAAAGTTCATGGCTACACTATAAATCATAAAATAGTCACCTTACATATACTTGAAGATTACATGAGCTTGGCATTGACATTTTTGGCATGAGAATCAAACTTTGGAAGAAAGAATCCATCCCAGTATAAGGACAAAAACCACCAAAAAAATCCCAACTACAACCAGCAGAAGTAAAGATTGCAAATGTAAAGCATCAGGACGAACACTTCCATTTACAACGTCATCCAAATTTCAGCTCCTCATTATTTTCAGTGGATTACAATTTTGTGTCCAGGCAGTCAGTCCCCGGGTGAGTCCCTGGGTGCTCTGGGGCTTTGAAACATTAATCCAAATTTCAGTTGAGGTGCTGTTACGCGGACTTGGCCACTTGCAAGATGTGTTAGCTTTTCAGAGCATGTAGGCCAAGCAAACAACAGATGGTAGTAACTTTGCCCACATTAATCTGTGTTTGAGGTAGCTCAGTTCAGTTCAAGCGTGCAAAATCTTTTATCTGTTTGCTTTCAATTTTAAACACAGAATTTGCTTGCCAAATGGCGAGCCCTATCATTTCGCATGTGAGCTGAAGAATAAAAAAAGGAATGAATTGCATGAACCTAACTGCACATACCCAAATCAATTTACATGATTTCTCTTTTTGAGATTACATTGAAAAATTAATACAACAAGTACTCATTTTGAAGTAATCTCCTTTTGCAACTAAGCTATTGGAAAGGCAACTTCTTGGTGTTGCTGTTAAAGTAACAACAGTGACAGGCATGGAGTTCAAACTCACTGCCTGTAAATGTTACTTGCACTTTTTTTAAACAGGCAGTCTTTTACATTCAGCATCAAAAAAAAATCTGTAAATACAGAATACAAAGTAATTATGAATAATACTCAGTGATCTTCACTGCATCATTGTCTCATGACTTTAAAAGAAAGTTGTGATACACTCAAGCCAGCATCCATATTATTATTTTATACAAAACAATGTGTGTACTTTTTGATTTTTTGATCCTTAGACTTTCTGATTTTAAGTCAGGCATAACAATTGGATTTTCTTTCCCCCCCCCCATAGTTTCCTTTTAAGTACACCTATACAAGAGATAGAGAGGAAGACAACATTCAAAATATGTATTTTTCATGTGGTTACATGTAATTAAGGATTCTATAAATGCCACAACTCTGCCATATTAATTGTTGCAAAGCTAACTGCTAAATTTAATCCCAGTAAAGGACAGACAAGCATTCACAGTATTGTTTATGCTCAAGAGATAAATTTCTCAAGAATGCAGTTGGTCTATCAACTGAAACTACTTTTCTGCAAAATTCGATGAAGACAAAGCTGTACATTAATCCATACTCATACACCTTAACTGTAGCAAGCATGACTCCCATTTTACATTACAGGAGATGACACACTAAAGAAATTAAGCAGCTACCTTTACTAAAGACTTCTGAACTCAGGTATTTGAAAATGAATTACTACAATCTGGTATGCTACTAAGCCCAAGATCCTCAGCGTCAACAAGATCTTGCAAGAATTTAATTTCTTCTCTGCCTGGTTTTGGGAAGATACGGTATAAGACTGAAAACCAGGGTCACTCTTTGCAAAATTCTGGATGGATACAGCGGAATAGGAAAGGTGATGGGCAAGTTTTTAGGCACTTGAATATGGATTACTACTTAGGGCAATGACAGTGCGTTATCCTCTGGTGTCCTACTGCCTCTTCAGAGGCAAGCAGCTCATCTCTGTAGGGAGTCAGACAAAGTTTGTGCTGCCCTTTTATCTGTTCTCACAACGTTTTCCTCCTTTTGCATGCAAGACATTCTGCAATACAGGATATTTTTCTTTGAAATAGGGAGACACACACAGCTTCCCCTTGCAGTTCTGCTCACAGTATTTGACAGCTTAGATAAACACCATGGCAGAAGAAAGCAGAAATGGCAGACTTGGTGGGAGGAAGAGACAACTGTCCATTGTCTCATGCCATGACATCTCAGCTTCCACTCAAGAACAGGAGCCTGACCAGGCATGAAGTTCTGCCTCCTCAAGCATTATTGCTGATAGCACCTAAGGGAAGGAGGCTTCCACTGAGAGCTGTTGGACAGAAGTAAAACTGCCTGCTTTGAACAGCATGAAAATTGTTATCAGTCCCTTAATTAAGCATTATTCATAAAAATATTCCTACCTGATCTGCTCCGTTTGCACGATACCTTCTTTATGTCCTTCCAACCGAGCTGCCAACCGCTCCTTGTCGAGGCGCACACACTCTTCATCCTAGAAGTAACAGAAATGCTTAATTGTAATGTTTAAATTTTTTGTGCATTCTCTTTAAAAAAATAAATGCAACTAGAATTAAAGCTATTCAGAACTTTTTTTTTTTTGCATTTACAAGGACAATATTTATTTCCAATTATTTTTGATCTGTGCACTAGCATTAACTGTACAGCTATCGGAAACTTCCTCTCAAGAGCCACAAAATATAATCAGAATAATGAAAAGGAAACTACCATGGCCTTGTAAAGAGCCTTGCTCAGACAACAATTGAGAACAACTGCAAAATCAGTCAGAGAACTTAAAGCAAACAATGCACACATTCAGGCAGGACAACACATATACACACATACATATTTAAGGTAAATTTATTGGACACTCAAATTTGCCCTGATATGTAATCTGTGACGTTTTTAAAGAAAAAAAAAATGCTCAGAACTGTTACATCTTGACACAGAACTTTTATAAATGGCATTCCTAGTAAATACAAAAAACAAGCCAAGAGTAAGGAAGCCTCCAGTTACTCAAACCAGGTTTGAGGCAGATGTGTAATCCGAGAAAGCAGCAGAGAGATGTAATTTTATGACATCCTTTCAACTTCTTAATGCTGGTACCTCTTGTGTTCAATCTGTCTTACTTCCCCACAAAACTTAAATCAGCATCAAGCCTGTCCTGTTGCTAAAAGGCTGTTCAGAAAGGCTGAAGCACAGCAAAACCAGTCATGCCCACGTATCAGGAGAGACTTGGAATCTCTACACCGAGACGGTCTCCAAATAACTCAGAACAGACTTTACAGACTCTGAGCTGCCAGAGCAGCAAGGAAACAAGCAAGGAGAAGATGGCCATAAGCTCATTAGGCTCATCTGCGGAACTGGTGATTCTCCAAATTATGGCAGTGAAGATCTACAGTTTCAAACCATACTGGCATCACAACCACATAGGGTAATGTAGAACAAAAATCTATAGATCACCAAGAGGTCCTCTCACAGCAATCATCTGCTTATGTGTCACTAAGAATGCACAAACTTTTTGTGATTTTTATGCTGTTATAGCCAAGCACAAACAATGTTCAAATCCACTATTTTAATAAGGGAACTTATGTATTTTGATAACTCTTCCTTCTCAGAAGACATCTAAAGCCTCAGTACTCTGAAAATAAATGTAGCCAGATTTATAATAAATCTCAGAGGAGACAACTGGATGAACGCAGTTTAAAAAAAAAATATAATCAAGAAAAACAGTGTCAGTTTTTAAAACCAGGCAGAGTTAAGTAATACAGTGTGTGTAATAACTAGACACCTTGCTTCTGTTCAAGAGGTACTTGTGAAAATACATTGTTACATTAATTACCCAAGACACAGCTTCAGAAAATAGTAATCACAGGGATAGTTTCATAAACTGCCATAAAGACACTAAAATAGCAGGTAAAAGAAACAAGTATCCATTGACAGAGGTAAGACTGGCATTTAAGTTATAATGCCAACTCATGGATGGCAAATAACCATAATCGGTCATTAAACAGCACATTTATTCCAATCCCATAGTTCTCAGCAGACAGGCTGTAATGCAACAGGCACTTAGAGAGATACGCAGTCAAGCTTTCTCCCTTCACACTACAAATTACATCTAGTAATTAATATTTCAAGTTTAAATCAGCGGCTTAAATTCTAACTCCTTCCGGTACATGTTCACACTAACAGAAGCACTGTGTGCACCCAGAGGATTGGTAGCCCAACTGAATTGCTACAAAAACAGATAAATACTGTAATTTACCACCACCCCCAATTTGTATCAATGACAGTTACTGTCATTACCTCTATTCTTGGTTTCTTTGCTTCTGCTAGTATTTCATCTGCTGCTCTTTTAACTACAAGAAAAAGAGGACATTAAAAATGCAAGATTGTAGTAGACCTTCATAAAATAAACCTCAAGGTTATTTTTTAGTTAAACTGTACCTTGAGTGGACCGTTGAAGACCAATTTCAAGTGGAGCACTTCTGTCTATACTTGATGAGGTTGCTGTAATCAAACACAACATTTCATTTAAGTACAAAAGATTTGCAAAAATATTTAAGTATAAAAGGGAGAAGGACAACAGATTAATTGCAACAACGGAAATTCTAACCAGATACTAGGTAGCAAAGGCAGTCAAACACTGGAACTGGAAATATTCAGAACCTGACTGAATATAAAGTTAGATCAGGTTGCCCAGGGTCATTTGGCCCTTCTTTAAATCAGGGACTCAACCAGATGACTTCCTGTGGTCCCTTCCAACATAAATTAGTCAGTGATTCTATGATCTGTACATACCGAATAAAAGAAAACAGAGTCACAAAGACAGAGTCACTTTATAATCCAGAATCAAGATCTACCAGTTTGTCTAGATTTTTGAATAAAGACAACCTGCTGGTCCCTTTAAAATACACATAAAAATTATTTACTGCTCGTATTACAGAAATAATATCATATTCCAGGATACATAAAATTCTAAAACCACCTACAAAACAGAGCAACTTACAGAAGTAAACCATATTTAGCTTTCTTTCAGAGAAATATAGTCAGAGAAAAGAGATTTAACAAAAAATTTAAGATGATGGAATACCAGGCAAATATGCCAGACTGACAAACCAACGGTTTGATATATTTTACCACACTGAAGATTTTATCCCACACACTTCTTGCATCAAGATCAATGTGCTACTGAAAGTTTCCCACAGTCTAGAGAAGGAAAAAATATAAAGGCTAAGCATTCTAACACATAACTACTAACCAAAGGACGTTAAAAATAACAAAAAAGTAGCTCACTGCTAAATACGCATGTAGGAATGCAGCTCCTAGCTAGCTGCCATAAAAATAGTTAGATTCAGACCAAAATTAAAAAATGAAAGAAATCCTAACTTCGTTTGAGAAGTTTGAACATCTTCAGTTAAGCTGCAAACTGACCATTGTTCCCCTCCTACCCCTCACTTATTCCATAAATATGAAGCAGTAAAGTACACTACGTGTCTAAGGGTAAATGGAAGCCTCACTCACATGTTTCTCCATTTAGGTATGCAAGCAAGTCTTTCCTATCAGGTCTTCTTACCACAGGAATGTTTTCAGTCTGAAAAGACAGCAGACTTGACATTAAACTGTTATTCCCTCAGAGTCTCTTGCTGAAGATTTTTCACTTTTATTGAAAACTACTCATTCACACAAAGACAGGAACACGTGTCCTGCCTCCAAAGAAAGCATAACTATCAAGCTTAAAAATACTATTGCTTCCTAGAGGATGTTCAACGAGACAAAATGAAATATGTTGTCTGCCTTAACATTGAGAGACAGCCTTTTTCCTCCTTCACTTCAAACTTGCAAATAAGATTAAGAACTAACTTGAACACACACACTTCTCTGCCAGGAGTCAATGTTGGTATGCGGAAATAGAGTATTTCAATTTTGTTGTCCCAAGCATGTACAACACGCAGCACTGCTGTGTCAGGTAACCAAGCAGTGCAAGGGAAGACGAAGTGTGGGCTCACAGAAAGCAGTCAAAGGGAAATCAAAAGTAGTTTCACTCAGACTCCCTCTATCTTTATTTGTAGAGCTTATCCAACAAATTATTTAATTAGATTGCATACTTCTGAGTCCACTCCAAAGCTATTTCCAAAGCTATTCCGCTGTACTTTTCCCTGTTTGTGGATCCTTGCAATCTCAGGCACTAAAGGATCATCTAGACTGGGATCACACAACAGAGAACAAATGGACCAAAGTACTTTTGAAACAGTCAGTGCTGGAGACAACTGTGACCGCCAAATATAAAGAGAAATGCTACCATTACTGTTAATATTTGGGTGACAGACTCTTGTTGTAAGTGCAGCCTGGTAGATTGAAGGGATAATCTGTTAGGAAGTGAATTGTCACGAAAAATACTCCACCTCGACAGGGACTGACATTTGATCCCGACGCAGAAGTTTTCTTTTCTAAATACATGCACACTTTGTTGCATAGCTTTTTTCCTTTCTCCAGCCAAATTCATACATTTAAATGCTACTATTGTTCCCTGAAAATAACTATGCACATATTACTTATCACAAACACAACAAAATAAAACTCTATATGGTCTACTTACTGCAGCACGTCGGACATAAACAGGATGTGAAAGGTGCACATTATTGAGCAGGAACAAGATGGAATCCAAAGTGTAGTACTCCCTGGGCTGGCCCTCTTTCCC